GTCACAGCTCACAGAAACCTCCAACTCTTGGTCTTAAACAATTCTCTTGCCTCAGCCTCCCAAATAGCTGGGACTACAGGCACCCACCACAATGCCTGGCTATTTTTTTGTTGTTGTTTTGGTTGTAGCTGTTGTTGTTTGGCAGGCCCTGGCTGGGTTCAAACCTGCCAGCTCTGGTGTATGTGGCTGGCGCCCTAGCCTCCGAGCTACAGGCACTGAGCCAGCAATTGGATTTTTATACTAAGAATGCTTTACCAAACTAAAATGGAATTTATTTTCTTTTACAGGTGCAGGAGACATCGTTGCAATCATGATTGGCAACCTGAAAGGCACAAAAATCCTCCAATCTATTCAAAGAGGCATACAAGTAACAATGGTCATCGAAGTAGGGAAAAAACATGGGCCTTGGGTGAATCACTACTCGATTTTTTTCGTTTCTGTGTCCTTTTTTATTATCACAGCAGCAACTGTAGGCTATTTCATCTTTTATTCTGCTCGAAGATTACGGAATGCAAGAGCCCAAAGCAGGAAGCAGGTTTGTAACAGTCCTTCCAATTTTAAATTATTTTTACTGCTTTAATGGTAGATTCAAGGTTTTAATACACTTACCTTGCTAGACAATGATCCACGCATATGTTTTGTGAGATCTGGTAGTTTTTAAAACGATGTCAGCTTTTATCTCCTCAAATCTTTAATTTTCTATATTTGTCAAAGAACTCAATCCTGCCTGATTAAATCTTCTAACAGCTCGTTAGGGAACACAGCCAGCATTTAATTATATATGGGTGTAAATACATATGTTCTATTAAATAAATTTTTTTTCTTTTTTTTTTCTTTTTTTTTCTTTTTTTTCTTGAATGGTAACTGTGTACATTGATGCACTTTGGGGGTACAGTGTGGTGTTTTCACACACAATCCAAGACACTTCCATCAAACTGGTTAACATAGCCTTCCTGTAACTTTCTTAGTTATTATGTCAAAACATTCATATTCTACTCATAGAAAGATTCACTTGTACCCTTGAAATATTTTTTTTTCTAAATTTCAAAAGCATTTCTATTTAATACAGAAAATGTAGAAATTAGGAAGTACAGAGTAATAGACCTTTGCCTAAAATCAAATTTAACAGTGGAACTGTAGTTATTGGCAAAGGTAACCACTGTTATTATACATGTATATGTATATTTGGATGTGGAGGTGAGGCTGAGAAAAGAGACTAGGGTGAAAAACAGGAGAAGGCATGTTTACAGATGTGAGCATGCATGACATAGTACTAGGCTCCAGTCACATATTCATAATTTCTACCATATTATAACATTGTATAAAAAGGTACAAAGTATAAACATAATAGAGAAAAAATTCCAAAGCAATATTGAACAGGTACCTATGGTTGGAGATGTGGAAGTACTCATGATTACTTCAGTTTAATTAATTGATCCCTTCACCTTTAAACTGTCCCTCAGATACCTGATATCCTCATTTCTCTCCTTGCCCAGCTTAAATTCCATAGTCACTCCCATGTGTACATCTTCAGTTCCCTTGCCCCTTCTCTCTCCCTTTGTTGTTCTGCTGTCAAAACCCAGCGCTGGTTAAATACTACTTCCCACCTATTCTGTTTTGGCCAGGGCTGGGTTTGAACCTGCCATCTCTGGCATATGGAGCTGGCACCCTACCCTTTTGAGCCACAGGCGCCACCCCCTTCTCACCTAGTCTATCTATGATTATACTTTGCACAGCTGAAGTAGCAGAAAAACATTTCTTGTTATACTGAATGATTTTATTTATTTATTTTTTAGTTCTCTACATATTTATTCTTTCCAGCTCTCTTCATTTCTTAGTGTATGTCCAGATTTCCATTTCTTAACATCTATCTTCTGCTCAAAGAATTCACTTGTGTGGTGTTGTTCTGCTGGCAATAATTTTCTCAGATCTTATTTGTCTTAAAAAGTGTTTATTTTGTCTTCATTCAAAAAAGAATATTTTCACTGGGTATAGAATTCCAGGTTGACAGTCTTTTCTTTCGGTACTTTGAAGATAGCAACACATTGTTTTCTACCTTTAATAGTTTCTGACAAGAAGTATAATATTATTCTTACCTTTCTTCCTATGTTTATAATGTATCTATTTTTTCCTTGATATGCTTGTAAGATTTTTTCTTTATCACTGGTTTGGCAATATGATTATTTTGTGCCTTCATGTGCTTTTCTTTATGGTTATTCATCCTGAAGTTGGTTGGACTTCTTCAATCTCTGAGGTTTAGTTATAGTTGATTTTGACAAAGTTTTGAGCATTATAGCTTCAATTTTTTTCTGTCTACCCCCACTCTCTTAATGATACTCCAATATCCTGTGTATTAGGCCTAATTTATATTAGTCTGCAGGTCATTGGTGCTGTTCAATTTTTTTTTTTTTTTTTGCAGTTTTTGGCTGGGGCTGGGTTTGAACCTGCCACCTCTGGCATATGGGGCCTGCATCCTACTCCTTTGAGCTACAGGTGCCGCCCTGCTGTTCAATTTTTTTTTTAATTTTCCTGGAGTTAGGTGATATCTCAGGGTGGTTTTGATTTGCATTTCTCTAACAATTAGGGACAATGTGCATTTTTTCAAATGTTTGTTAGCCATTCATCTGTCTTCATCAGAGAAGGTTCTGTTCATATCTCTTGCTCAGTGATAGATGGGATTGTTAGTTCTTTGTTGTTAGTTTGAGTTCTCTGTAGATCCTAGTTATCAATCCTTTGTCAGATTCATAATATGCAAATATCTTTTCCCATTCTGAAAGTTGTCTATTATCTCTGATTGTTGTATCCTTAGCTGTGCAGAAGCCCTATTTGTTTATTTTTATTTTTGTTGCAATTACCACAGAAGTCTTCTTCATAAAATCTTTCCCCAGGCTGACATCTTCAAGATTTTTTTCCTACACTTTCTTCTAGGATTTTTATCATTTCGTGCCTTAGATTCAAATCTTTTATCCATCTTGAATCAATATTTGTAAGTGGTGAAAGGTACAGGTTCAGTTTCAGTCTTTTACATGTGGTTATCCAGTTCTCCTAGCACCATTTATTGAATAGGGATTTTCCCCCCCACTTATGCTTTTCTTTGGTTTATCAAAGGTCAGATGGCTGTAAGATGTTAGTTTCATCTCATGGTTTTCTATTCGGTTCTAAATGTCTATGTCTTTATTTTTGTGTCAATACCATGCTGTTTTGATCACTGTGGACTTATCATATAGCCTAAAGTCTGGTAGGGTGATGTCCCTGGCTTTGTTTTTATTACTAAGAATTGTCATGGCTATATGGCATTTTTTTCTGGTTCCACATTAAACGAAGAACTATTTTTTCCAAATCTTCGAACTATGATATTGGTATTTTAATGGGGATGGCATTGAATCTGTAGATTGCTTTGGGAAGCATAGACATTTTAACAATGTTTATTCTTCTCAGCTAGGAGCATGTTCTTCCATTTGTTAATGTCTTCTGGTATTTCTTTTCTTAGGGTTTCATAATTCTCTTTGTAGAGGTCCTTCACCTGTTTTGTTAGGTATATGCCTAAGTATTTAATTTTCTTTGAAGCTATAGGGAAGGGAATTGTGTCTTTGATTAGCTTCTCAACTTGGCTGTTGTTGGCATATACAAAGGTGGATATTGATTTTATATCCTGAAAGGTTACTGTATTTCCTGATCACTTCCAGGAGTCTTATAGTTGAGTCTTTGGGGTTCTCTAAGTACAAGATCATATCATCGGCAATGAGCAAGAGTTTGACCTCCTCTGCTCCCATTTGGATGTCCTTTATGTCCTTCTCTTGCCTGATTGCATTGGCTAGAACTTTTAGAATAATAGGGATGATAAAGGCCATCCTTTTTGGTTCTAGTTCATTTTTTTTTTTTTTTTGAGACAGAGCTTCAAACTGTCACCCTGGGTAGAGTGCTATGGCATAACAACTCACAGTAACCTCCAGCTCCTGGGCTTAAGCAGTTCTCTTGCCTCGGCCTCCCAAGTAACTGAGACTATGGCCGCCCACCACAACGCCCAGCTATTTTTTGATTGTAGTTGTCGTTTGGCAGGCCTGGGCTACATTCGAACCCGCCAGCTCTGGTGTATGTGGCTGGCACCTTAGCCACTTGAGCTACAGGTGCTGAGCCTGCTAGTTCAGTCTTGAATGATTGCATTTAGATATATGACCACAGACTCAGAGTGGGCCCTTAATACTGCCTAGGAATCACACTTTTCTTAGCCATACATGCTCCTACTTTTTTTTTTTTTTTTTTTGATACAGAGTCTCACTATGTCACCCTCAGGAGAGTGCTGTGGCGTCACAGCTCACAGCAACCTCAATTTCTTGGGCTTAAGCTATTCTCTTGCCTCAGCCTCCCAAGTAGCTGGGACTACAGGTGCCTGCCACAATGCCCAGTTATTTCTTTTTGTTGCAATTGTCATTGTTTAACTGGCCCTGGCTGGGTTCAAACCTGCCAGCCTCAGTGTATATGGCCTGCGCCCTACCCACTGAGCTATGGGCACCGCCCCTACTTTTTTTGGGGGGGAGGCAGAATCTCAGTCTGTTGCTCTGGGTAGAGTGCTGTAGCATCATAGCTCACGGAAACCTGCAGCTTTACTCTCAACTTGTATCTCATTCCACTGAGAAAACTGAAACAATCATTGTATTTTCACGTCTAGCCATCTCTGTGCTTCAGAGTATATCCTATTTCTCTGTCTTGTGTTCTGCTATTATTGATGAACTGCTCCTTTGCAAACCAGCTCTTTGACTCATGTACAGGACTCTTTTTGTCTTTCGTGTACTCAAGAACATCACTGCAGGTATTGTTTTCTCTCACTTTCCCACTTCAACAATTTCTCCATCTCCTCTGGATTTTTGCCATCAACATACAAACATACTATTACCACTTCCATTTTCAAAAGATTTTCTCTTGACCCCAGCCAGAATCCTTGGAGTTATTCTTGGTCCTCTTTTTTTCTCTCTTCTCATATAAACTCCATCAGAAAATACTCTTGTTTCTTCCCTCATTATATGTACAGAACACAATTTTTCCTCATCTTACTTACACCCTGGTCCAAGCCACTATGATTTCTTACCTCCTCCCCACTTTAGGTATTCTCAACATAAGAGCAAAATGATGTGCCACTTCTCTGAGATGCACAGTAAGGATTTAATTCTTTCAAATGATCTTATAGTAGAGGCAATAGAGTAAATTTTTATATGTACTGAGAAGTTTCTCCAAAGACCGTGAAATTCTGGCCTGTTCATGCATGGTTTCTCTAATAGGCAAAAATGAATGCAATTTATTTAGGAGATGGGGGAGAGCAGTGAGGGTTTCTATTTCTCAAGAAAGTTAATTGAATTTAGGAATAGATGAGAAATTGAAATTTTATTATGAACCCTTCATAAAGGTTAGGTACTGGCATATGGTACTAAGTGATGGTTATCTCAGTGTTTAAAGTTAATTGACTTCTGTCCTTTTCCTCAGAGAAGCAGCTTATCACATTGGTGACAAGTTCAGCCTGTTACTAGCTGTAGTCAAAAG